ATTCACCAGGACTTGCAGGGAACTGCTACCAAATTGTCATAATGGGACTATAATATGGGGGTAATATTTGAAAAACCTATCTAGATTGCAGTGAGGTCCAAGAAGAGAGGCAGGATACAGACAGATAAAAACAGCAAGGTACAAAAACAGAAGAAAATAGCATTTAGCTTGTTTCTTTGTTGAGCTGAAGAATATACTATGTGATGAGACTTGCCAATCAAAATGCAGTCCATGAGACTACAGTTTGTTTTAATTCTGAGTATACATGCTCCATTAAGAGCATGTATACTCAGAAAAAGAAAAATTTTCAGACAAGATATAAGAAGTTGAGGTTTATTATTTCTAATTATTTTGCAGTACCTTCTAGAGCAATAGCTAAATATTATTGTGTTGTGGTGGGTCTGATTAACCACTTTATCTCCTAATACTTATTATATGAGAACATTACAAAAACACTCACTTCCAAACAAACATTATATATATTCAAAGCACTAAGCAAAGCATATTGTACCAGCAAAACATGAATGGGGAAATATAACTGAAGAAAAATGTTTGAAAGCAGAATATTTTATAAAGGGAAATTCAGGGTGTGTCTAGGTTAAGAAAACTTGTGCTGCCAGTAAAGAGATTTTAAAGGAAATGACAGAAGACTTGTTATTTAGGGTCTGAAAAACTGGATGGGACAAAGCAAATACAAGTTACCACCTGAAATATTTCACTGAAGAAGTTGAAAAGCACTAATTTTCATCTGCCACTTTTGTTTATAAGCAATATGACATGTAAAATCATAAACCCTCTTCAAAGAAGAATTCAATAACTTAAAATGAAAAAAGAAAAACAAAATTATTAGCTACCATAAATACCAATCTTAAAGACAAGAATAGCTTTGTGTTGGTTCCTAAATCACTTCAATCATTGTTCCAATATTACTTTTTAAGTTTCAAGTATGATTAAATAAACATGGTGTTCATTTAAAATCTGTCAAAAATATTTCACAGATTTAGAATTGATTTAAACATATGAAAAACATGTTTTTATATATTCACAGATTTGTTTTTATGATTTTGAGTTAAATGCTGTGTTCAAATATCACACTAAAACATAGGTCAGTGTACAGTGAAATGCTATGTTCAAATATCACACTAAAACATAGATCAGTGTACAGTAATGGAAATAAGATTTTTATGTTACAAAGCATTTTAGAGGAAACACCCATATCCTCTAGTTTGGAAGTGAGAAAGAGAGAGGGAGGGAGAAATATTCCATCAAGGTAAATTCCATTAAAGAAAGAATTTTGTTTTATACAACTCTTTAACTGTACTGAGCATTACACCAAAAAAGAGCTGCACTCACACAAAATCTATAATACAAATCTTACAACTTGCATTTGTATGAAACAATCTGGAATTCTAGCTAACAACCCTATATACTGCCTTGATCTCTTGCACTAGACTGCCCTCTAAATAATTCTGTCTATGACCCAAATACAGCCTTGGGTTAATGACCCACAGTAGAAACTGGATGTAGGGTATATATCCTTGTTAGTTGTGGTGGACTCCTCTGCAACATTTGATATCATTAATTACTACAGCCTTCTAGGATATTTGGCTGAGACCTAGATCTGGAACCATCACAAAACAATGCTCCCATTTTGCTGAAGGAGATGTTCAGGTTTTATGACCACTGGTATATGGTGGTTTTATGACCACTGATATATGGCTTAAGAACTCCATATTGTCCCACACACATTTTAGTATCTGTTTCAAGGATCCTCAGCTTTACGGGGAGGGGGGGGGCTAATGGGCATATTTAGAATATTGAAAGCCTGTTATTAAAAATAAGAAAGTGAAAGGTGGTAGATTACAAAGCCAAGTGCATAATTATTATTTAAAAAAATGCTTTCAGTGCCTGCACAAGACCAGGAGGTATTCTTGCAAAATGTAAACGATAGAGGATTGCAGCTAAGTACTCTATCTGGAAATGACCTGAAAAAAAAAGTGCATGAAAATCACCCAAAGATGCTGGAAAGGGAAATGGAAAGTAAGCTCATCAGTTTGCCTTTGGGCAAAATCAGTTTGTCATGGCAGTCTTTTTGGGAAAGTGTCCATACATTTTCTCAAAATTCCAAATGTGTCCAACAACCCCCAAAAGTTGCAAGAACCTGGACTGCACAATTCTAGTTTTGGTTAGTCATGAGAGCCATCCTAAGAGAAAAATGACCACTAGACATAACCCATCAGGGAGAAGTAGGTGCCAAAAAACAACCTGCAAGAGAATGAGGCAAATAGATTCTGCTGCCCCTGAAGAGACTAAAAAGAAAAAAGGCAAGATGAAAATGAGAAAGGAAACACAGGATAATCAGATATAGACAGAAATATATTCTATGGGAGTTTCAGAAAGCTAGGTAAGCTTTAGAAAGGATAATGCAATAGCTTATGACAAATGGAATAAAGTAGAAATAAGCATGCAAAACTAGTCAATGAAATGAGATATGACCCAATTAATACGAGTTCATATATTTTCTTAGAGTCTGTAAGTCTGGATCCACTTTCTTGGGAATAAATTCAATAGAGCTTTACTTTAAGTGGATGTGTATAAATTACCCTGTGAATTAATCACCCACAACATAAAGTATTCAAAACATTTTTACCAGGGAATAAGCTTCATTGAATAAAGAGGGATCTACTTTCAAGCAAATATGCACAGGATGGTACTGAATTGACCTTTAGGTCATATCTTTTTACTTAGATTAGTCCTAAACAAATATGGGACTTGCACTAGTAAATTTTGACAGTTGATCACTTTTCATATTTAGGGACTAAGCACCGTGTCTTCTTTTGTGGGTAGTTTGGGAATCTTATCATCTACTTCTCATCATTATCTTCTGCTGAAGAAAACAAGTAGTGAGTTTTTAGAGCTTTAGACCAGCTAGTGCAAAATCTTTTTGCACATTTAATATTGTAGTAAATTGAAGAGATAATGGCAAGGAGCTAGTACATTGCAACAAATAACGTGCAGTTTTGAAAAGTTGAATTCAGATCCTTGCTCAGCGACAAAGTTTAAGTCTGAAGCTCACAGTATTCAACATTTTAACTTATGCAAAATAAATGAGGGTTGTGAAAAGAGTGCGGTGGCAGCCAGTCACAGCTTTCTAACAGTACATTGCTACTTCCACTGGCCAGTCATTATTTCTTAACCCAACCTACCTCCACATGGTGGTTCTTGGGAGAAAGAAATGACAGGCAACTCCCATCTTCACCACCTTGAGCTCCCAAAGGAAGGGCACAATATATATGTAGTAAGAGATAATAAGCTCCTTGTCTACTTCCGCTATGCCATGCACAATTTTATATAGTATATTTATCTGCCTTTTTTCCTAAGCTAAAAAGTCTAAATATTGTGATGTATTTTGAAATATCCTATAGAGCTTAAACTTCACATAGACTTTTTAAAAAAGGTAGAAGTACTAAAGAATAAAAAAGAACCTATGAACTTGAGTGACAACCTGTTGTAAAAAGGACTTAATGTTCCACTTTAGCTAACAATAATTTTTCAAATCATTTCATATTTATAACAATCAAACTGTGCACATCCAGATGCATACTTTTACACACATACATTTGCACTGTGCTACACAAATAAGGGTGAAAAGAGTCCAAACAGAATGATTTGGCTACATCTCCTGTCTTGCCTCACCCTTATGGCCCACTGAACACTGGCAAACAGTAGCTGCTGTAAACAAGATGCCAAATGTGTTTTAAGCAACTTGAATAGTCTTTGCAAGAAGAAGAATAAGGCTAGCCAGGGAGCAAAAAGAAGCTAATTCATTTCTGAAAACACCACTGTGCACTGCTTTCCACAAAATCTCAAATGGTGATTCATACCAAGTAGGCTGTTCTCCCAGAATAAGCTATTTTGTTTATGCAGAATCTGTGACAATACCAATTCTAAAAAGGAAGGGGTTCAGGGTCAGTCTACGCCATATATCCTGTCATTTAAAGAGTGCTTTAGGAGGAACCTAAAGGGAGGGGAAAGATGCGGGGAGGAGATAAGGCTAAGCACTCTCAGAATGGCTTGTTGAAGTCATAGAGATATAAATGTATAGATACTGTAAACATGTCGCCAAAGCATGAGATGCAGGGCGACTGTCAGGAGAAAAGAAATTGTTACCATCCTCTGAGAAATAAAGCACAAAGCAGACCTCAGAGGAACTAAACTTGCATGGTATCCATATATCAAATCTTACCATCAGATATCAGATAGTGATTGATGATTATCAAAACGATTCTTTTCCACGAGATTTCGCACTTAGCATATACGAGAGAGAGAGAGAACAATATTTAATATGCTGTTACCTCCTTCATCCTTGCACAGTTTTGCAGAACTGACACTTAGCTGAAAGAGCCGTACACCAACAAGCTATCTATATTCTCCCGGTGAACGGCTGAATGATGCACACAACCCGGAAAGCAGAAATAGTTCCAATCAGGGCAATCAATTCCTTACTATTAACTCCTTTTCCTCCCCTCATCCAAAAGTAAGAACAGAAAACAGAAGCGAAATACTGTAGAGCCAAGAAATCCCCTTCTCGCCACGTCCTGTCCCTCATGCGCAATTACCATCCGGTCCGGACTATCCTCTCCCGTGCACCCTAGGGGAAGGGTAGTGGGCGAGAAACAAAGTCAAAGGTCTAAAGCCCTTTTTGATTACGGTACCATCATATTCGATTTCATCAGAGACCTGATTTTAAAAAGCCCACCCACTCACACGTGCCAAAAGAGCAGATCCTTCAGGAAAAGACCACGGACGTCGTTCTTCCGCCTCTCCAATTCCCCCCGGTCACATCTCCAGCCAACGGAGACCTGCCGAGATTGCGCGAAAGCCCACCCCGCCACTTCGCTCCCTCTCGGGGCTGAAAGGAAGCAGTCCGGCCGCCCTCTCGCCTCGGGCCAGGCCCCTGAGCTGCGCGCACGGCACACAATGAGCAGCCCCGAACTCACCAGCAGCAGGAGCCGCGCCGAATCTCTGCCGCGCCGGGGAGGTCCTCGTCCTGCCTTGTCCTTCCGAGCTGCCTCCTCGCTGGCTCCGCTGCACGGCTACCGCCTCCTCGTCTTCCGTGGGCGAGCCCCCCGCCAGCTAATGCCGCCGCCCCAAGCGCGCTT